CCTCATGCCAGCGATATCGCCAGCTTGTAAGGCGTACCGTAAATCACGGGGAACACGTAACATCGTAAAAAGCGGATAACTTGGTCATGTAAAAAGTCCATTTTGAAGATATTTGACATATCTATGCTTCGTAAAAACTGTTTACGCGTTTAGGTTTTCTAGAAAGGTTACATGTTCGCCGATATTAAAAGTGATTGAGTGACAAAAGAATGCGCCAAGGAGGGGAAAGGCAACATTGATTATGTAAATTGCAGCACGCACAAACAAAAAAAATAAAAACATATTCGTTAATATGTAACCAAAATTCCAAGATATCCACTCGATATGCAGTCGAGCGTCGTCCACATGACCCACGTTGTGTGTCACACTTGAATCCTTGCTAAGATCAGCGTGATGACAGACCCCATTACGGAATAACTCCAATGCTCGATGACAGAACCCGGACGTTACTCATAAATTATGATTATCTTTCGGTTCACCGTACCCGTCTGTGGGGATACCCGAAGCTTTCCCGATCGTTTACGGTTAACCATTTGCGATTTCTGCTCATAATGTGGCATCCCTACAATCTTTCAGAGTTCTCCATATGGACCCAGCAGGAGATTACACATTACAATAGGATTTGCACTTGAAGGAGGAAGCGATTGGTTTACGCTACGTTGACTCCCTCGGTTCTTTCATCTTCTGGTCTTAGTTGCTTGGGGTACTCGTCAAGCAGTTGCCCACCACAGTAATGTAGGGATTGCTCGCCGATTACGAGTGATTTGACTTGATTTCCTCAGCTGCTGTTTTTAAATGCAGATTTCTTAAGTTAATACATTAAGTTCATCGGACATGCTCTGCTGCGGAACATATACATATCGAGTCCCCACCAGCCATGTCATCATGTTTTGGCCTGGCAGCAAAGTTGTTCTCGAAGTAATTAGAGTTTCAAAAAGATAATGTTCCGTTTGTGTGAGCTTAGCTATCTTCACGGCTGTAACATCGTGCAGACTCAAAAATATGACTGGTACCTATACCTATAGCAAACCGACTTGTCAGATTTATTTAACCGAAATAATAAATATCACTTTCGAATCAAATACTGGTATCGATATCAACCTGAGGGTCAGCTGTGTAGATCCGTAGCACCCGAAAACTTTTAATTAACAATTCTCCGTCAAGCCACTGGTCCACTAGAAATGTAGTAACTGCTACTTTTTATAACTTGGGAGAGAGTTACACATCAAGGTTTTTAGCTCATCCAAAATTGATAATAGTAGCACAGATCGTTCACATTGCTAAACTCGATTATATGCATCGTAACCGCGTTATTTTTTCAATAACATTAAGAACGTCATAGTTGGAGTCATAAATTCTCGCAAGTTACAAGTATTTATAAAAAGGACACATCGTTATAGTCTGGGCGATCCGAAACAAGACAGTTTGAGTTCCTGTTTCCCTTGCTGAGGCTAGCAACCCCACTTTTCATTTCGCCTTCTCTTAAACAAGTGTTTCTCAAGGTCCAGCCATGCGACTTCATTTTTGGGGCTTACTGATCGCTTTGGCCTTCATTTTTTCATTCGGAGATGCTGTCCAGACGGAAAACGAAGACCTCAAATCGACAACAAGTTCGAAGATATCATTGATGGGGCGCTCGCGCTTGAGTCGCAATGGTCTCAGAGCCTGACGTCAACGACAAACAACTGTTGAGGGGCTCTCAAAACGAGAACAACGATGAAGAGCAAGGTCTGACCGATGTTGTGAATCGGCTGACTTCAAGGTGCCCTTGACAGGAAATTGGGTCGCCAACTTTGGGCTTTGTACGCGCGTGGAGAAACCCCAACGACATTATACCAAAAGTTTCCAAGGATATGAGTCAGTCGTTGGGGGGGGGGGCATTGTGTTGTACTGATTGCCGGCAGCCTCGAGTGAGGGCGTGGTAAGGCGGGTTAAAACGCGGTCGAACTGCGAATGAGCTCCTACAGCGATCCTACAGACTATTTTTCCTTGTGTTCTTGTCGGCTAAACTGAGCGTTGATTGAGAAACTCCTATCCTCCATCCGGAAACCAGAACATACTCCGCATGTACTCTAGTGGTAAAAAGCAAAAAATCCTCTTTGGCGTGCGATAAACACAGCGTACCTACAATGATATCCGCCGTTGGAGGATCCAGAAACAGCAAGATGGGGCGATTCCTCGCGACCGTGAATTGCTTGAGCTATAGAGCCAAGATAGCCAGATATGCATCGTAGTGCCCGGTGGGCCCTAATTCAGCAAATGAAAGTACACCTTTACTCTTACATGTTCTTGGTATGCAGAGGCAAAAATTACTACTGCGAATAACGTAAACTATGCAATACTGTAGTAATTTGCACGTGAATTCCAATTGAAGTGGCAGGTGATATTGTGTCCAAATATTTAGCCAACTTTGATCTCATTAAGATGAACGAGACTGATTCCCGTAGCGTTTGACCTCTACATTGCTGTTTTTTTTTTCTTTCCCTCAACTAAGTTTGACTTGGAATTGGAGGGGGTGAGGGTATGGATATCCTCCTATCCGAAATTCTTTCTAGGAATGAGAAAAAACAGCATCAGGATCCTAACGGGCTACGGAAATCACTCCACTTACGTGTTTTCCGCGAGCTCCCTAAGCTATCGTG